TTTTTGTTTCCAACAAACTTATTTCTAAGGAAAATTGTTCTAAATTGCTTTTGGGTACCAATACCAAGTTATTACCATATCCCAAACCATTCATTTGACATTTGGTAATCATTTGAAATATCGCTTCTCCTTAGATTAGCATATCTGCTGTTAAAATCCTCACTTTCTTTTCTGCATGAGCTTGTATATTAAACTTGTGAAAGTGTTACACTAACCAGCTGCATTAAAGGTAAGAAGCAACTAGTAACACTTTTGCCATCACTACCGCGGTCCAACTTTGGCAAAAGCAATTTCTATAGTAACAGCGTACTATAGTTTTCAGACTTTTTTTTTTATTTTTATTTATTACCACAAAGTTTCTAAACCTTATATGCTTTCACTTTATACAAATCATAACATCCAACCTATAAATATATCATATTCATCCCATCTATACAAATATCATCTTCATCCCATCTATACATATATCATCTTCACATCATCTATACAGTTATCATGTTCATCCTGTCTATACATATATTATGTTTACCACATCTACACATATATTATTTTTATCTCATCTATACATATATCATGTTCATCCCATCTATACATATATCATGTTCATCCCATCTATACATATATCATTTTCATATTATCTGTACCTATATCATGTTCTCTCATCTATACATATATCATTTTCATACCATCTGTGTCTATATCATGTTCTTCCCATCTATACATATATTATTTTCATATCATCTGTACCTATATCATGTCCATCCCATCTATACATATATCATTTTCATATCATTACATATATAATCTTCATATCGTCTATACTCATATCATCTATACATATATCATCTTTATAACATCTTATATAAAGTTACTTAATCTGAAAAATATATATTTTTCAAATATAAAATATTCTTATATTTGAAAAAAAAACTTTAAAAACAATTTTACTGCGCATATTATTTTTGTAAGCATTGTAGGCGGGTTACTTTAGCGACGTTCAATATTTTCCATAAGCAATAAAAAAGCATAACAAAAGTAAAGGAAATCGAATTTAGAGCTTTGTTATCAAATGATTGAAGCTAAGGGATATTAGAGCCAAGAGGACATTACCTGACTCCCTTTATTTATGATTTTGGTCCCATATAAAAAACAAAATATAGTACTTTTGTAATAATGACAATCTTTTCTGCTAAATTTTTTTTATCTGTAAACAACTTTGTCACAATTGTCGTCAAGAAAACTCGTTTTAAATTTTAAAAATAAATAAAGAAAACAATACAACTTTATCTATGTAGAAAAAAGCTATTTAAATTAGCGCTTCAATAGGTTTTTGAATTTTGAACAAGGACACTGGATTCATAAAAAGAAATAAACATAAATAAAAAAATGGAACTTAGTTTTATATCACAGCTTCTATTGTAATTTTAAACGTCAAATTGAAGCATCAATTAGAATCTTTTTTCTTTTTTGTTTTTATTTGTGTAATTCGTACTCTGCGTCATTTAATTTTAGTATTATTACAAAATCGAAAGCATAAAAAAGAAAAATGAACGTTTAAACTAGATTAAAAACCACTTAATTTCTGAAATTTACCCTGTTTATTTAGTCCTGAGAAAATGTAATTGAAAGTGACGAACTTTATTTACTTTATTTGTCGAATTATATTTTTTCATTTATTTTTTTATTTTTAATTAAACTGTACTGTTTTTATTTGAGTAATATTTCCATGATGTTATAAAATCTGACCCTATTTTAAAATAGAAAAAAATTGAAAAAAAAAAAAAAAAAAAAAAAGAAAAAAAAAACGCAATTTCAATGCAAACGATGAGCACGCAATGTTTACAAAGATGCACGCAAACTCTAAAATAGAAAAAGAAAGTGAAAACAAAAAATAAATTTCGTATTAAGTCTTTCGTGCAAATCAGATAAAAAACAATTTAATTGTTTTATATAGGTGTACATATGTAGGGTATACAAGGCCGGTGTTGAGTGAGGGGTGGGAGTGGGGTATTTTACGAGTTTTGCCAACTAAAAAAAAAAATTACCTTAAAATTTCCAATTTGCCGACTAGTGACAAATAGTTTAATTCAACTGTATCAAAAAAAAAAAATTCCAATTTGCCGACTGAAGGTACAAAAAGGCCGACTAATGGTGCAAATATTTATATATTATATATATAAGGCGCACAGCGAATGAGGGGGGGATGAGAGGTCCCCCCCTTTCCCTGTGCGCCGGCCTTAGGTGTATGTACTAAGTAGTGTTTTTGAATACAAATGTACTCATTTTGCAGAGTTTTTGACGATTGCCAACTAATCTCCAGCTAAAACTTCTAAAAGAAATAATAATAAAAAACAATGAATGGTAGCTTAACCTTGATTCCTGTATTTGATCATAGCAGGCAGAACTAAATGAAATATCTGTTCAATGGCAGGGGCAAAAGTGAAAACTTTGATGAGATTGCTCGACTAACTTACGATATTGTACGCAGGTTAAACATACTATCATGGTATGGTAAAAATGCAGTTGTGTTTTTAAATAAAAAAACATTTTTAAAATAATTTCTTTAAATATAAAACATTCTTTAAATATAATTTTTATTTTTGATTAAAATATGTCAACAAAATTTCACCTCCCCTAAATAAGTATAAATATAACCACGTTTAGTTTATTAAGAAACTTTCTCCGTTTTTCATTAAACGTTTTAAATTATGAAACAAATTGATAACGTCATTAAAATAATATATATTTTCTATTGTTGGAAGGTATTTTAAAAATGAAAACACTTTTACAAAAACATATTTTTATTCAAACAATAGTTTGAATATTTTTATTTCTATAGAAAAAAAAAGGTTTTTATAATTACATCTTTCTCTTATATATATATATATATATATATATATATATATATATATATATATATATATATATATATATATATATATATATATATATATATATATATATATATATATATATATATATATATATATATATATATATATATATATATATATATATATATATATATATATATATATATATATATATATATATATATATATGTATATATATATATATATATATATATATATATATATATATATATATATATATATATATACAGGGGCGGATCCAGCATTTTTTGGTGTTTGAGATAGCTAACTTCCAGACATGGAGCAAACTCCAAACATTTATATGTTTATACTTATATCAAATAAGGATGGTTTGCAAAAAATTGCGATGATTGGAGCCTGGGAACAAAAAAGCCCCAAAATTTGAGACGCACCTGCCCCAAACGTGAGAGCAACAAGTTGATAAAATATTTTTTGTACTATTCTCAACAAGACTTATATTTATCAATAAATTTTAAATTCCATTGTAAAATATTTTAGCGCTCAAAAATTATGACCATATAAAAATTGTAACCCCCTCGAATTGAGGGGGATTCAAATTTTACATGGTCATAATTTTTGAACACTGAAATATTTTACAATGAAATTTAAAATTTATGGATAAATGTAAGTCTTGTTGAGAATAGTACAAAAAATATTTTATCAACTTGTTGCTCTCACGTTTGGGGCAGGTGCGTCTCAAATTTTGGGGCTTTTTTGTTCCCAGGCTCCAATCATCGCAATTTTTTGCAAACCATCCTTATTTGATATAAGTATAAACATATAAATGTTTGGAGTTTGCTCCATGTCTGGAAGTTAGCTATCTCAAACACCAAAAAATGCTGGATCCGCCCCTGATATATATATATATATATATATATATATATTATATATATATATATATATATATATATATATATATATATATATATATATATATATATATATATATATATATATATATATATATATATATATATATATATATATATATATATATATATATATATATATATATATATATATATATATATATATATATATATAAGAGAGTAAGATAATTTAATTTGAATTTTTTTTTATTAAAAAGTATACTCAAGTTGCTAATCAGAAATATATTTTTGTGACTACATTGCGCAAAGCTCAGCAAATTTAAAGGGAAAATAGTTATGTCCCAGTGGAACGGGACGTAAAGAAGACGTCTTATGAACGTTCAAAATACATTTAAAAGACTTTTTTTTTTACGTCCTGTGTCCACTAAAGTGTAACCTTTCGGTTAGGAAAAAAAAGATTACACGAATTTTTGGCAAGTTTAAACAGTTACATTCTATCAAGAATTTTTCATTCAAAGAATTATATGTAAACCATTTTTTTAAATTGCTAATAAAAGTTATAAAGCTCTGTTGGGTTTGCTACGCTTTCAAAGAAAAAAAAAGTTTTTGTATTTATACCAACGATCATAAAATGTTTTTTAATTAATTATTATTCATAGTTTTTTATCCATTAAAATGGCATCTCTTGCGTTGTAGACAAGTTTCACCATACATAGCTTCATATCACCATACTTGCCAATTATATTAGACTAACAGAAAAAGCATTTAATGATCGTTGATATAAACACAAAAACACTTTGCTATTGCAGTTTTAAATGATGATAATATTTGCAATAGCAAACATAAACTAAGAGGCGCCCAAAAATTTGCTAACTTATTTTTAACAGTTTTTCTTTTTACATTTATATATCGTATGCGTTGGGAAATTCGTCATTTTTATCAATAAATAAAATTTGAGGTTTTTTGAAACTAAAAAGCACAAGGCGTTTTTTATAATCCGCGAAAATGTTATTTTTGGTAGCTAAAAATAATAAAGCGTGTAAACTTTTTAAAACCTAAATAAGATTGGTAAAAAAAAAAACTAGTCATACCAGATTAAACTTGTTAGATTTTCCGATAAGCATATGTTTTTATTTAATCTAGCGGCTATCTAGTACCGTATCTTCAAATTAAAGTTCATTGTTATTTATAAATGAATAAACAAAAGTTTTTGTTACGCAGTATACTGTCATTGAACCTCTCCGCAAAAAATCACGTGAAAACTAGCTTTATTCAACAAATCACGTGCTATATGAATAATATATAAATTGAGGATTTCCAAGCCAAATGTTTAGTGTGCGGACAACAGTAACTTATACAGATCTAATAACTTTCTTCGCTTCTTTGAAAATTATTCGTCAAAAGACCCGAAGGCAGTTCACCATTTGTGAACTTGTAAGTATCGCCGTATTCTTTTACTTTGGCAATAAGGTTTTCTGAATAAATTTTTCTCGCTCTTACTAAAAGTTTTAAAAAATGTATGTAAAGAGCCAAAATATTACGATTCAAACGAGTTAACCTCTTAATTCAAAACAGTTTTCTCATAACTTTTCTCAATACAGAGCATATTATCACTTTTTATAAAATAAGTTATAATTAAGCAATAAAATTAACTTTATTAAATTAGTTCATAAAAGTTGCAAGTTACTTTTTTTTTTTGATTTGTAAAGCTAAAGCTTTTTGATTTAATAATTATATTAATAGTTTAAATTAGTTCATAGCAAAATGTTGTTAAATTTGACAGCTTAAAAGTTGTTAGTAGGCTTTTAATTTTTTTTTCTAAAAATCTAAAAGAAAGTATAACCTTGATAAACATAAACCTATAAAAGGAATTAGATAAGTTATTGAATGTATTCTTAATATGTATGTATTTAATTCTTGTAAATATACTTTAAATTCTATTTACAATTGATGAATTTGCTTTTAAATGTATTTTTGATGTTGCTTTTGTTTTAGGGCCACCGGCCAATTTTAATCATTTGGGCGCACGATTCTTGGGATATAAAATACAAAGCGTACAGCTAGCATTTGCTAAGTGATATAAAGGTTTTGTACAAAAAATGTTGCTTTTTAAATATATATATATACATATTATATATATATATATATACATATTATATATACATATATATATATATATATATATACAATATGTATATATATATATATACAATATGTATATATATATATACAATATGTATATATATATACAATATGTATATATATATATATATACACACATATATATATATATATGTATATATATCTATATTTAATCTTTTATGTTTTACATTTATTTTATACTAGCATGTTTTTTTAGATGAACAGTGTCACAATGAAACTGAGTACAGTTCATAAAGACTCTGTTATCAATGTTTGTAATGATGATTTCAATATGAGAGATTTACTGCGATTAAAAACTAACTCAAGTGGAAGAGAATATAAAGATGACCCTTTCTATATATGCAACCTTGATGATGTTGTAAGGAAGTATTGGAAATTCCAAGAACATTTACCACAAGTCCAACCCTTTTTTGGTACTTTTTTTTAAAATAAAATTTCAGATATGAGTTTATAGGGCATTTAGTACTATTTGTTTTTAGAACACTTTTGTTGATTTGTTTTTGCAATATATTTCATTTAACTAAATGATTTAGTCACATTATTTTGTTTTTTTTTTTGTTCTATTTTAGCTGTTAAATGTAATCCAGATCCAGTGATAATTGCTTTGTTAGCATATCTTGGTGTCAATTTTGATTGTGCAAGCAAAGGTGAAATAAAAGCTGTTCTTGATTTGGGCGTTGACCCAGAAAGAATTATTTTTGCAAATCCATGCAAGCAAAACTCTTTTATCAAGTATGCCTTTTTAATGCCATTTTACTTTTTTGTTTAGAAAGACAACTCTATGCATAAATTAGTATTAAAGTTTTATTTTTTGTTCAAACAACATTGATTTAAAAGTTTTGTATTAAATTATTGATAAGTTTATTAACAATTTATAAATTCTTTAATAAATTTATAAGAAATTTATTTGAAAGATTTTAATAGGTAAAAGTTTCTTTTTCTTTACTCAAGAGTTCTATAAAAGCCTCATTCTGTTTTTATTGTGTTTTCATGTAATTTAGTTCCTATTAAATTATTTAGATATGCCAATGAAAAAAATGTCAAGAAAATGACATTTGACAATGAAGCTGAACTATATAAGATAAAGCAACATTTTCCTGATGCAGAACTTGTCATACGCCTCAAGGTAGATGACTCCAAGTCATCTTGTCAGGTAAATTTCAGTTTACTAATAATTCTATAATACTATAATATAGAAATATTACTTACTAAAATAAGAATGATTCCTAATTTTTTTAAATTTGTTTTTAAGTTTTAAATCCAGACTTAAAATCTTAACTTTTTGGATTGGATTTAAGTTTTAAATCCAGACTTAAAATCTTAACTTTCTCTAACCAAATATATATGATTTACAAAATTTTGAATTACTTATCTTAATATACCTTACATCAAGTTACCTTACATTACTTACCATACTTACCTTACATCAAGTTTAAGTTGATTAACTCATTTAAAACATTTACATAATTGTAATAAAATTTTTACATAGTTTGGAATAAAGTTTGGTGCTACACTTGAAAGTGCTGAAAAACTCCTAAATATTGCTAAAGAACTTGGATTAAATGTTATTGGTGTCAGGTGATTTTAGTTTACTAGTTATTATTTTTACCTGTGTTAACCTAAAAAAATTTTAGTAAATTCTAATTTTTAAACAAGTGAGTTATAAATTTTTATAAGTTCTGCATTCAATTTATAATATTATAGTTAATTGCCTGTTGAGTAAAATTCTAAAATTTACTGGTCTGTAATTATTTTTTTTGTAATCTACTGTTTAATTTTGCTGTGTTTTATAAATTATTTAGCTTTCATGTTGGAAGTGGTTGCTATGATGCATCATTGTATTATGATGCAGTAAAGTTATCTGCAACAGTTTTTGAACAAGCCGTAATTTTTTTATTTTTTTACATTTTCAAAGTCAATAGTTTTTCAAGTCTTATTATATAGTACTTTGTAATGGAGCAATAAAGCATTTTCATAGGGGTTGTCCATAAATCATAGATAAGTTTTTTCCCCAAATTCTAGAAATTCACTTAAAACTCCTTTAATTTTCCAGCAATTTCAGGATGCTTTTTTTTATTATTTTGTTTTAAAAAAAATTATAAAATTTTACATAAATTTTAAAAATGACAACTTTTATATTTAAACAAATATGTTTTCTATGGTTAAAATTTTCACGAGATCAATTTTCGTTACAGTTTTATTTCTTTTTTTTCTTTTTTTTCTTTGCTGTTAAATTTATTCAAATAAATTTTTCAAATATTAGAAATTCTTTTTTGTAAAAAGTTAAATAATCTAAATTCTGTTTTAAAAGTTTTTGAAAGTTTTTGTTTAATTTTTAATAAAATAATTTTCCAAGAAAATTTTCGGGATTTTAATTAAGTCAAATACTCATGATAAATTATATCATGCTTAGGGGGGGGGGGGGAAATAATTTTTGTGGTTTATGGAACTTGTTACTAAAGAGTTACAATGTTTAGACAAGGTTCTAAAATTGTGGGACGACCCCCATAAGAATTACTTCTAGCAATAAAATATATAAAAGTGTCTTTTTATGCTTGGATACGCTATTGAAGCTAACAAATTTTTCTTTTAGGAGAATCTTGGGTTTAATTTCACTTTGCTGGACATTGGTGGTGGATTTCCTGGTGTAGAAGGAGGAAAGATTTCTTTTGAATTAGTAAGTTCTATTTCATAGATGGAAAAAGTGCTGATGGTGGATTAAAAATTGTAAGTTATTGTTTTACATCTTATTATACGGATATGACTTTATAAATGCTTATTTATTGAACATTACTTATTGTAGACTGCCTCTCAGCTGAACCTTGGAATTGAAAAATTTTTCCCTCCTGAGAGAAATGTAAGAATAATTGCAGAACCAGGGCGTTACTTTGTAGCATCTGCATTTACTTTAACTTGCAATGTTACTTCAATAAGAGAAGTAAGTACCAACAAAAACAGTCCACCTGGTTTCATGTATTATTTAAATGATGGGGTTTATGGTTCATTCAACTGTATTTTGTTTGATCATCAATCGCCTACACCATTAACTCTGCATGAGACTGATCATTGCCCTCGATATAAGTGCAGTCTTTGGGGACCAACCTGTGATTCAATGGATTGCATATCTAAAGATTCCTATTTACCTAAAGTAAGTTTCAATATATTTATAGCTTTTCTATTAATTATTTAAGTTCTGCCACAGTTAAAATTAGTATGCTAACAAGTTAGATCTAATTTTTGCACTTTGGACAGGCACTTTAAGAAAAAAATACTAATTAGAATAAACATCTATAAATGCATAGAAAAATTTTTAAACATTTAATAGGTCTTAATTAGTGCATTAATTTTATTATATTTTACTGTCAATTAATTGTATGTAACTAGATAAACTTTATTTAATTAATTTTATTTATTTTGTACAAATATTAGAGTTCAATATTTTGGAAATTGTTAAGCTTATGTAATAAAGATGATTTACCAAATATAATACTATTTTGACATCTAAGTATATTGTTGCTTCTTTTTTATGAAGGCATATTTATGAGGTAGACAAATGTCTAGAAAAACTTTTTTGTGGATTAACTATGTATTTAGCAGTCTTGACTTTAATTTTGTCCTGGGAGTGATGTTTAAGCATAAGCATCTATGTGAACATTGCTATCCAATGACTGATCGTATCATTTTTTTAAAAGTTTTTTACCTTTTTTTTACCAAATCCACACAAGTTTTTATATGAGCAATTTTTATTAAAGTTAAAATCATTTTTCTTTTAACTGTGATTCAACAATTAAAATTTTTAACATTTTTTTCTAGCTTATGATTGGTGATTGGTTATATTTTGAAAATATGGGTGCTTACACGATCGCACCGTCAATTAAATTTAACGGATTCAAACCTCCTGTTGTTTTCTACATGTGCACTCAAAGTATGTATGAGGAAAGTATGTCTCCTAGTGATGTGGTTGCATCTGTTAAGAAGTGTGGTATCAGTGGTATCTGTGGGAAGACTGGTATTTTAGAAAGTGTTGTATGTTAAAGTGTGAAACTATTTTTTTTAGAGTTTCTTTAAAAGAATGTTTCTTTAGAAGAGAAAATCTGTAGAAGAAATGTTTCTTTTAAAGAAAATCTTTGACAAATATTATGAAGACTATGTCTGATGTTAACTTATTTTCAAAGAAAACATGTAGCTTAATTTTAATATCTTTTATTTATTGAGTATTAAACGTTTTTGGTGTTTTAAATTTAAATAACTTCGTTTCGAGGTCATTTATACTAGGTTAACAACAATAGGCAAGGTTAAAGTTGTTTAATTTAGGTGAATGTTAGGGATAAGATAAATATTCAAATTTAAGTTAACAACAATTAAGTAAGACGCCTTTACAAAATAATTTTCATTCGCATTACTTATGTCGCCAGTATGAGTTTTAAAACATTTAAAGAAAGCATCATTTTTTTAAATTTTATTATCTTACAAAATTTAAATATTCGTAACTGTTGTCAATAATAAAAAGGATATATATTGCGGCGATCTGGGAACGGTATTTAACCTCGAATTCGCTACAGCGAACTTGCAAAAGCTTGTGGTCTCATTGAAAAGTAGATTTTTATACAAATGTAATCAATAATATATTGTTAATTATTAAATAGATGATGTTTAACTAGTTAATTATTAAATAAATGATTGGACGTTCAATAATAATGATATTTAATAAGAGGATATTACTCAAATTTGTAATATAGTGTTCATCAATACTTTTTTACAATACACAGGAACATAACGTAAATAATTGTAATGCGAACATAATGCGGCTAGTCATTTGACATAAATTTACTCAACAGAATTGTATACAAAAAGTTTGTACTATAGATGAGTTTACTTTTAATAAAACAATGAAAAGAAATTATTAAATATGTTACTATTTCTATTGAATCAATTCAATTGATTAAGATGAAATGAATCAAATATGGTTTCAAATTCAAAAGATGATTGTTATCAATACGGAGAAGGTTTTAATTTGGGAAATAACTAATTCAAATGGACTAAAGTACCAAATCTGTGTTGTTCAGTAAAAAAGCCACTTAAAATACAATTCGAAACTTAAATTAGTTTTACAAATAAGAATACAATTTTCGTTACATAACTTTTTTTCCTTTAAGAATTCTAATCTGTTTAAAACAATTAGAAATGTTTAACATATTAATAAAACGCAGTAAACATGTTGATAAATATATCTATAATATTCATTTTATTTAATGAGGCCGCATGAGAAAAGCGGTCTTTTTAAATAATTATTAAGACTACATTAAGTATTGTTAAGTAACAGTTGCAAAATCTAACAGTTCCGCGCCCTTTTTTAGAATTATAGCACTCAATTTTTTTAGCAAAAAAAAAAGAAGTGCTATAATTCTAAGAGGCAAAATACAGTCTTCAAATATATTCTAGAAGGAAATATTCGAAGATGATAACACTAATCAACATTTTTTTGAAAATATTGAAATAATATTGCAACTATATTGCCAATGGGATGGCGATATAATGGGCAATAATATTGACAATAAAATTGTAATTATAGTGGCCAATATATTTGTCAAATTATCTAAATACAAAAACCATTACGCGTATAATTCTTTGCAATTTTATTATCGTCCAGATAATAGAATAAAGTGTAACATTTTATGTACAATTTCAATTTTTATTAAACTCTAACTCTAAAAGATCATAAAGACGACAAAATTTAGAATAAAATAGATGGTGTATTTGTTTAACATTTACAAAATATACAAAATACTAAATAGCAAGAATGGGGGAATAGATAAGAAGCGATAAACGTTGACGACCCCACACCACAAGAAAAACGTCACTAATTTGTTTATTCTACATCAAACTTTTGTATTACTTTAATTGTCTCGAAAAAATTGATTAATACTTGCCCGAACAACACGCCAGTTGTAAGTCTTAAAAACTTTGTCAAGTACACCTTTAACTTCCTGAACACTTGATCATTTCCCATATGAATGCGTGCAGTAGGTCCGTTTGGTTCGCAAATACGCGTATAAGTAAACTCCTTTCCAAATTGCATTAAAATGAATTTTCTTACGAAGCTACACGGTTCTTGTTTTTGAATGTCATAATTTAAATTCGGCATCAAAACCAGTAAAAAGTAAAATACAGATAAGTTCGGATTTAGTAAACATTTTTTAATACACGGTTATATTATGCAAACCTATTGTATATAAATGTACGAGCCTTTCCTTTAGCAATCAATTTTTCTCATTGGATGAGCTTTTTTCAATTAAATTACAAATACTAAATTGACTTACATTATCATTATTTAATGATTCATTTTCTATTAGACGCAAAATTTCAGACAACAGTTTGTTGGTCTTCTTTTGTTCAACAAGAAGCTTCTTTTGTTCAACCAAAATTGCTAATGTTAAAAAAAATACAGTACTTCTATGTACAAGTACAATATGACAAAATCTGGCAGATTGTTGAAACATGGTAAACAATACCATGTTTCAACAATCTGCCAGAATTTGGCAATTGCAACTCTTCTTGTTCAATAATGTTAATTTTTAATGCTTTACAAATTTCAACTTTTTTAGGATGATCTGTTGTTTGCAAAAAACAAGAAGCTGTTTTGAAGTCAAGAAATTTTTGTACAAATTGCTGTGGATGTGTTCCTTTCAACATTTTTTAAATAATTACTCAGTCGAGCAAAACAAAACATTGAGTAATTTGTAACACTTCCATGCATTTTAATAATATCGCTAACTTGACCAAGCAGATGAACATTGATAGTATTCATATATAAAGTAAGAAACTCGAACAATGATTTTTGATAAAAGTTAAAAAGCTGACTAATAAGTAATACTTTATCAAAATATAATTTACTGCTAGACAAGCGCATGCCAATTACTAGAGAATAAATCATCATCATGCAGTCAGGATTCAAATATGGTCGAAAATATGGAACTGTTAAGTATAAAATACAGTTTTTAAAGTCATGGCTTTTCAGTGTGTGAATGATTTAATAGTTGGTGACTTGGGCATGTTATGTGGCATTTTTTGATCAGCAAGTAAGATTTCCAGAGCATTTAATTTTACACCACTACCAATAAAAAATGATTTTTGTTTATTGGTTACAGAAAATAAACAAACTAAAAGTTTTTTTGAGCAATTTTTGTGAAAAAAATGTAAGACATCAATAAGTATCATATCTGACACTTTAATAAATGAAATTTCACTAAAGATGTTTGAGCCTTTAATTCCAAATACTGACACTTTTGATTTTTTTGCTAATCTAACATATTTGGCATAAATTTCAGATGTTTTAAGATTATATTTTGTATCTGAATGTAAATAAATTCTAGCTGAACCATGTTTTCTTTCAACTGTTCTACCAGGGTGTTTGCAATAGTGACATCCAAATTCAGCATTATACTATTTGTGATTGATAATTGAAGCCACTGCAGGCAAATCGAAAACAAAACCAACAATATGAATAACAACATGGATATTGCTAATTTTAGGGGGTGTTTCAAACAGTTTTCTATTAATGTACTTCTAAAAAAAATTAATAATATAGTAACGTTGCCCAATTAATTGTTGTCACGGCTGGAACAGTGCAAGAATTCTACTGCTATAGTAGAGTGTGTCGATTTTTATGATAAAGTGCACTTTTTTTAATTTAGAAAAAAGAGTAGTGAAAATTTAAAAATTCATAACTTTTTAAAAGGAGTGATATTTTTAAAAATTAAATAATTTTAGTGCTAGCTTGGTAACTTTTCATTTTATTTTTACTTATTTTGGTTTTGCTAAAATAAGTACCAAAAATGCGTAACTATTCATTTCTTTTCATTTTACTTCATATTCTGACCAAAAGGAAAGCTCCGGTAAACATATTTAGTTTATTAGAGATGTCGAATAGAACAAGGAATGCATTATTTATTAAAATGAGCAATCTTGTAGGGAATGGAAAAGAACTTTATGTATCTGAGCTTCCAACAGCCAGAGATATTTTACGATATAGTATACTTTTAAGAGAAATCACTGAAAAAAATTCGAGGAACTACACTGTAGATCAGCTAGTAACTGATATGGTGCCCACTGTTCTTGGTCAATGGTTAAAGGCAAATGCCCTTTTTGTATATCCAGTTGTAATCCATGAAAAAACAATTTTTAAAAAACTCAAGTATTTATGGAAATCTGCTGTCGATTTTAGTAATGGACGTGGAAAAAAAAGCTGAAAAAGAAAGATTTTCTCCAAAACTAGACAAGCTTGTGGACATTTTACTGTGTAAATGTAAATTAATTCTTTGTTCAGAGTACAAATGTGGTTCAGGATGTATGGAAAAAATTCATATAAAATGCAAATGTAAGAGAGAAGAAAAAATACCAATTGTAGAGCTTCAATTTATTTATTCTCAGAGAACTAAAATAGGAAGCTTTTGGAACTTTTCATATTGGTAGTGCAGAAAAAAAAGAATCCAAAAAAATTGAAAAAAAACAACAACAAAAAATAGCAATGATAAAGAAAAAAAAGGTAGCTATTTAATATTACTTACTTGTACGACAATATAATATATACAAACATTTATCATTTTAAAAAGAAAAATTTATTATAATATATAACTTTTTTTTTAAGGCAGATAACAAATGATAAACTTGAACAATTTGATTGTCTGAACGAAAATGAATATGTATCTCTTTTTCAGACACATATGGGGGAAGTAAGTTTAAAACTATTAGTTGCATCAAACAAGTTTAAGAGAAGCAGCTGAAATAGCCACAGCTACCTTGATAGATGTAAAACTTATAAGCGAGAGTGATTTACATCTTATTATAGATCATAACAAAATCAAAAGGGCTCAAGAAAAATTAGCAAAAGAATTAAACAACCAGTTTGAGTTTGAGACCTAGAAAATAACCCGGTAATAAACATAAATATATATTTTTAAATATTTAATATTTACTTACTATCGTTTATCGAGAACATCATACATCATGATAACAGATACAAAAACAATTATCAGTGCAATTTCATTAAAAAAAAAAAAGATAAACGTTAAAAACGACCAAAAGTGCCAAAATTCATATAAAAATTTACCATGCTTGCACTTAAAAATTTTTTTTTTTTAATTTTTCCTGTATTTAAATAACCATGAAGTTACTTTTTTTCACTACTCTTTTTTGAT